GGGAGGGGAGGGGAGGGGAGAGGAGGGGAGGGGAGGGGAGGGGAGGGAAGGAAAGTGGGGGGAAGGGAGGGGAAGGGGAAGAGAAGAGAAACCGAGCACTAACGTGGGATGATTTCATTAATCCTAAATCTATAGCGTGATACAGCAGAAACAGTCAACTCTGCTGGCACCTACTTGAACAGATCCTTTCCTCACAATCAATATTTCAACTCAAGCAGCTGAGAAAGAGGAGAAAAGGAGACAAATCAGATGGGCCGCTGGAAAAGAGGGGTAAACTGGCACTGTCTCCAAAAAACCAGAGTCCTGGCTCACTCTGACGACAACTAAAAGATAAATGGTAGTGTGTAGAAATCAAGAGTTTAACTCATAGCAGTAAAACTATGAAGACTTCACATACAAACCATGTATCGCTTTCATGGCAGTGTAATATACCTGTACCGCAGTGGCATTGAAAAAAGAACAAAATGAAAGATGAATCAAGACGGTCTAAAGCATCTGATAGCATTGCTGGTCTAAAGCACTGCTCTGATAGCACTACTTGGCTCTTTGTAGGATCCTTGACTCATTTTACCGCAAGAAATCCTCCTTGCTGTCCTATGCTCATGAAGAAGACATGAAATAAGGATCTTGGGTGAAGGAAAACAATCTGCAGCAGCATTCAGATAAGCGATGTAACAGCTGCAGTCACTCACAAGGCTCTTGCTAGAGGGACAGTAAACCCAAGTGTAGGTTTATCCTAATACTCACAGGTCAAACATGCAGCTTGGAATTTTCTAAGCAAAGGATTTAGTGGTAACAGGGACAGCAAAAAACCTAGGTAAGCAAGGGGGAGAAAGAAAGCTGAGTAGCAGAAGAGGATCCTGTGCTAGGCAAGGATGTACCAAAATTAGCATCAAATATCTACAAATGCAAATAAAATTTTTAAATTTTTCCTTAAGTTTTCCAAAAATTGCAGCTTTACATAAGAGGAATCAGAGGGTGCAAGTGCAGATTCCCTACTCATCTTGTCCCTCCTTTACGTCATCACCTGCAAAAGGTCCTAACTGGCAAAAATCAGACAAAATTGAGGGCTATCAAACTATTCTGAAGACAGGAGCATTTGGGAGAAAACAGGGAAGACAGACATTTAACTTGCTGCATTCACCATGCTCTAACGGAACACTGAACTCCGAGGACTCGTTCTGCTTAGAGGGGGAAACCCTTGTCCCTGATATCTAGAGAGAGCGAGAGGCCTGGGCTTACTTCCCTAAGAAGGAACAATACTGGAGAAAGTGGTTCAGTTTCCCCTGTACCTTCATCTGTCCTCTCCCTGTGGGAGGAGTAACTTATCTGATTATATAAGAAAGGCTGATATTTACTGGGCCTTTTCTCTTTGGGGAGAAAATGTTAAAAGTCCTTCTCTCTAAAGGCCTACTTTGGCTGCAAGTCATATTCTGCAAGATTTTAAGATGATGAGCATTTTGAACCCAAATTCCACAAGCATCACCCTTTAAACATTTAACAAATAATGAGAAGAAGGTGAGCATGGTTTTGTGATTTACTGCAAGGGACTTGTATTCTAGTAACAGTTGCATGACTAGCTGTGACTCTTGGCTGTCATTTACCTTTTAGCCTGAAGTGCAAAATAACAGGGGTTGAGTATAAGAGTGCATTCTAGTTTTAAACTTCTAGAACTTTTAACAAAACTCCCCCTCAAGAAATTAAATATGATGCTAAAAGCGATCTCGTTCGTTGTACTTGTAACTGGGAAAACCCTTCCTTCCAGGGCAGGCCTTCCCAAAGTGTGGTCTGTGAACCATTTACCAGCTTCCAGAACACATGTTCTAGTGGAAAGAAACCCCTCATGGGGGGAAACGGGGCCATTGTTTTAAGTTTGTTGTTTGTTTTTCTTTTTTTTTTTTTTTTTTTTGACTTGGGCTTTTCTTAACAAGCAACTGAGGTGATTTTTATGATCAGTAAATTTATTAATTCTAGGGCCATGGTCTTCAAAATTTCATATGCAAACCCCTGGGCATACATCAAGATTTTTCCATGGGGAAAGCAGACAGGAATATGTATAAGGACATCAGCTTAAAGATCTTCAATTTCCATATGTATTGCCCTAAGATTTATGTGCTCAGATAAGGCTTCTTCAGATCTAACATTTTTCTTTACTTATTTTCATTTTCACAACTGCCATACTCCCTATTTCCAAAAGAAAGGCTGACTCATACCCATCTAGAATCTTACTACGGGGCATTGCTCCAGATTGTAAAAAACCTCCAGAGGCATCAAACAAAAGAACAACAATAAAAAAATTAAAAAAACAGAATTCTCAAGGGACAATGAGGACAGAGTAAAGCAAAGAGAGCTTCGGTTAAAAACTCTGCACCTCATCTATCTTAGAACTATAATTGAGAAGGTTGCGCCACAAATGTGTCAATGCATTTATCTGAATTAAAAATAAAGTCAAACATTTTCTGACTGAAAATGAAATCTGATTTGGCTGGTGAATTTTAATTGAGAACAGGCTTTGCTACTTTATATGACAGGACTTCTATAAATTTAATCAGCTAAATCTACAGCTCCACGGCTTTGAGAAAAATATTTTTAAGGCACATATACAATATATTGGATAGGGTATCCTTTGTAAGTACTTAAATTTATTTTTAAAATTTAGATGTCACATTAAACATGTGCAAAAGGAAAACTAACTGAGAATGAGAACCATGAAATGGAGAAGGAACTGCTTGGAAAGGGGCACAAGGGACAGAAACCGTCCCCTTAGAGTAGCTTGTTTTAGGTTGGCTACTCAGATGTCTACAACTCAAGAGAAGGGAACACTTTGTTTGCTAATCATACCCCCAAGGTGTAAAATGTGCAAAAGGTTATATATAGTTTTTCAAAATTCTTTCAGGGGTATGTTAGCAAAAATGCTCTTGTTTCTCAAGACTTTTCTTTTGGTGTATCTGAATTGTGCAGCCTATTGCAACCATAAAGTGATCTATAGCATTACACAACTTGACTAATCAAATTACTTATGTTTTTTTCATTGTTAGCTCTAATATTTTTCTAACAGCCACCTTGGATCTTGATGGCTAAGAACACTCCCTAACAGAAAAAAAGAATAGGGAATAAAATTAATTGAAGAAATACTAAATCTTCAAGTAACTGGGTAAGTGAATGAATTAAAGTACTTTTGTCTGTACTGGAAGTTGCTTTCTCCCAGATCCTCATCTTTAAAGAGAGAATGACGTGATTAACGCCATCTTTTCATATTAATGGTAGTTCCCCCAAATTGATAATCTAGTTCTAAAGAACTCATTCTCAAATTACCTCTAAGTGTAGAGAGAAAAATGTTGTGACGCACAGATGTTTACATAAATAAACAGATGCAGTGAGTTACGGTGAGTGGAGATGCTCAATACTGACATTTTGATACATACCTAGCCTGTTAATATTTCTCTGCAATTCATGGAGTCAGCTATGCTATAAAAACCTTAATAACCAACTGAATCTCTTTCTTGCAAATAGGGCATGAAGCCCCAGCCTTCTTCAATCTTCTGGCACAGTGAAAACAAGTGACAAGATGCCCTGTCCTCCCATGAATAATGTTCCCGTCTCGTGGTCTTTTCTCACACAGACTACATGGCTTCAAGAGATTCTGGCAATCCTCCATGTTTTCTGTATCTGTTCTCTGTTCGAAAAGGTTATCTGATTGTTCTCCCATGCTTGATATGGTTTCCTGGCTTTCAGAACTGTGGGCCAAATCCAAGAATTCCACTGAGTTGCAGGGATCAAAAAGTTTGGGGTTTTTTTCTTCCTTTGTATATACATCTTTAGGTCTAACAACTGGAGCTGATATGGTTCTTCGACAATCAGGGACATCAATTCCTTCATTTTCCTTCTTTTCAGGTATGGCAGTGATATCAGACGTGGAGAGAGAATGGGTTAACTTAGAACAATCCGAATACCAATCCTTCCTCAACGCCCAGCAACGAAAACAGTACCTCTTGCTTGGAGAGTTAAATTTCTTGCACTCAGTACACTGCCACTCATCCTACAACGACAAGTGCGGCCAATTAATACTCACACAGTGGTGAACACGAAGCTGAGAAAAAGGAGGGTAGGCCAAATCTCATCATCTCACCAAGCTAGTGAGAGTCTGGACATTCCACATCAGTGGTCTAGCCTCGCATCTGAACACATTCCACAGCCACGTGTAAGAAAGTCTAGAGAAGTTTTACAGTGATAGTGACAAAATCACCATTTCAAGTCAAAATTTGATATAGCTATCTTTAACAAAGTTAAATTCATTATTCTGGCATTTTGTCGAGTCTGGGTGGAATTTACATTGCTTGCTTTTCCCTGCTGCCTTCTTTTTTAGTTCATTTCTCATTGTACAACTTACTCTTTTATTGAGCAAGAGGCTAAAGAATGAAGAAAAGATAACACTTTCATTCCTTCCCACTAATTAAGAAATGTTATAAAATTTGGCAAAAAGGAAGCTAAAATTAAAATGAGGTTTGGGGGCACCTGGGTGGCTCAGTCGTTAAGCATCTGCCTTGGGCTCAGGTCATGATCCCAGGGTCGTGGGATCAAGCCCCGCATCGGGCTCCCCGCTCAGCGGGAAGCCTGCTTCTCCCTCTCCCCACTCCCCCTGCTTGTGTTCCTGCTATCACTCTCTCTCTCTGTCAAATAAATAAATAAAATCTTTTAAAAAAATAAAATAATGGGGCGCCTGGGTGGCTCAGTCGTTAAGCATCTGCCTTGGGCTCAGGTCATGATCCCAGGGTCCTGGGATCAAGCCCCGCATCAGGCTCCCTGCTCAGCGGGAAGCCTGCTTCTCCCTCTTCCTGCCTGTAGCTCCCCCTGCTTGTGCTCTCTCTCTCTGTCAAATAAATAAATAAATCTTTACAAAAAAAAAAAAATGAGGTTTGAAAACTACTACGTTACTTCTGCTCTCTCACCGCTCTGAGGGTCACAGGTCACTACCTGTTGTACGCCCAAACCCTACCCTCTGAAGAATGAATGTTCTTGCCCTTGGATGCTGGTAACTTTTTTCTGACTTCTCCATATTCAAATTAGGAGATACCAGAGCTCAATGAATTTTAAATGCCTCACTTAATGCAAAGGTAGCTACCTGGAACAAGTCAAGAGTATTTAATGTGGATAATTGCCTGGCTTTGACAGGATCAGTGATTTGACACAGGCAAACCTGATTACTTTCAGAATGAAGGCTGCAGACTTCACGTTTAGAAGGCATAACCCAACTGCCTAGGCCAAGAGGCAGGGACACGACCAGTTGTTAAACTGGTGGTCTTTAGACAGCGTCAAAACATTCTTGCCAGTTTAAGATCCTAGATCTCATCTCATCTACTTCATGCAATACAGAATCTCAAAGGCACTTCATAAAGACTTGGAATTTATAACTGATGGTGTGTCATAGTCTAACTGGCATCATTTTTTCTTCTTTAGTAGTACATAAATAGGGCTTATTAAATTAAATGGCATCTTTGATTTGATGAAATACAGTCTATTTGCTTAATAGGTTATCTGGGCCCAAGTAGCCACAGAAGTCTGATTAAGATGGAAACACTTATCTCTGCTATTTGTATTATGGTCAAGAACACTTAATGGACCAATATATTCCACTTTATTACTTAGCTACGCACAGACAGATAATTTACAATGCATTACCATAATGGTCAACAGTGGCAGGCTGGGCGTTGGGGGAGGATCAACACCAGAGACAACCTACAACTTTTCTATCCCCAAGCAGCAAACTGTAAAATCCCCTCCCTTCTCCTTCCCCCACCACCATTCCCAGCAAGTAAGCCAAGGGAAGTGCTAAAAGGAAAATGGGGAACTAGCATGAAAAGAGAAAAGCAAGGTGTATGTCTGAATCTAAACCTCGGTTGTCACATCTGGTGACAAATCCACACCTAATACCCAATAGCTTAATACTACATCTTCATTTACTAGCCCTCCATTAATGTAAACCTGTGTGGAAATTAAGCCATTTCCCACTGGTTTGTTTTTAAGAAAGCAGTGAAAATATGATCTTCACTCTTGACAAAGAATTTTAGAGAGCTTACAGGTCTATCCTTAGGTTTATGGAGGACTGTTTAGTGGGGAAAGTAGTATAAGACTATTTTAAATAACTCTGTGTATCCACTGCATCACGTCCAAAGAATTTTGTTAGCAGGGAGAAAGGCAAACAGACAGGCATCTAAGTCACCCCTTTCAAGGTGGGGAGAGGATTAGGTCAACTCATCCTCCTCTTCTCCAAATTCCAATAAAAACCTCTAACAAGATATAAAGAAGCCAATATGTCTTAACACCAAGGAAAGCAAGATAGAAACGGGGGAAATGGCCTTCTTCAACACAAGTGCATTGCTGGAAAGTTCACACTGGAAGATGCAGGTGGTACAAAACAGCTTTTTTACTAGCTACTCATACCTCGGAGGTAACTTCTACATCAGTATCGTCACTTAGGGACTTAGAGTCCTCAAGGTCATCATTTTTTCCCACTTCAAGCACCTGCGAGGGCAAAGACATCTCATTAGTAAGGTTTACCTAGTTTAGATGAGGCTATAACCTGAGAGCAAAAAAGACAGAAGAGCTTCAATTTAGAGCCCAAATTCTGCCTCCATCACTAGCACTTGAAAAGAAAATGACCAGGGGCGCCTGGGTGGCTCACTCGTTAAGCATCTGCCTTCGGCTCAGGTCATGATCCCAGGGTCCTGGGATCGAGCCCATCAGGCTCCCTGCTCCGCGGGAAGCCTGCTTCTCCCTCTCCCACTCCCCCTGCTCGTATTCCCTCTCTCGCTGTGTCTCTCTCTGTTGAATAAGTAAATAAAATATTTAAAAAAAAAAAAAAAGAAAGAAAGAAAATGGCTTACATGACTCTGTGCACGCCCAACTGGCAGCTCAATAGAAGAAATGACTGAAAAGTGCCCAGAAGGCTCACCAAATACAAGAGGGCACCCATATGTATGACTTCAAAGAAAATAAACAGTAGCAGAGTAAAAACGCTACAAATCATTAAATGTGGAAATTTTTTATCTTGAGAATTTAGGCAGGCATTCACAAGAATAAGGACTGCATGAAAAAATGAAGTGAAAAGCACTAAGTAAAATAAGGAACTGAGATGTGAAGAATGAAAAATATTTTATGAAAAGTAAATTTCGTATCCAAAAGTAAAACTAGTTATGTGATACTCTGGTTGTCCCATAAAAACATGCCCATTGGGCCGCCTGGGTGGCTCAGTCAGTTAAGCATCTGCCTTCGGCTCAGGTCATGATCCCAGGTCCTGGGATCAAGTCCCGCGTCGGGCTCCTTGCTTGGCGGGGAGTCTGCTTCTGCCTCTTGCCCCTCACCCCGGTCGTGCTCTCTCTCTCTCTCTCTCTCTCTCTCTCAAATAAATAAATAAATCTGTTTTTTTTTTAAAGATTTTATTTATTTATTTGACAGAGAGAGACACAGTGACAGAGGGAACACAAGCAGAGGGGAGTGAGAGAGGGAGAAGCAGGCTTCCCGCCGAGCAGGGAGCCCGATGCGGGGCTTGATCCCAGGACCCTGGGATCATGACCTGAGCCGAAGGCAGCTGCTTAATGACTGAGCCACTCAGGCGCCCCAATAAATAAATAAATCTTAAAAAAAAAAAAACATGCCCGTGGACCAGGAAACAGAAAGTCAAGAAATTTGGGAAGTGTCTTCTAAATTTTCTAATTCAGAATTTAAAATTCCAAAAATTAAAACCCTATTTTGTGATCTAGTAAATGGAATAAAATCAATTATGATAGAATTAGGAACCTCAGTATGTCAACTTTCTCACACAAGTTCAAGTATTTTAAGTTTCATCTCTCTCAATGGAATTTTCCAAATGTCACCTTTGTCTTCATTCCAGCCACTTGGGAGTCCCTTCTAATGCCACCCATACAACTAGTCTAGGAGGACCCAAGCATTGATCTGCCTATAAACATACCAAGATTTCCTTCAGGAACCCAAATTACTATGAAAATCCCTCAAATTAAAAAGATGACCCTATTTAGATCAGTTTTTGTTATATTTACTCAATAGATGTTTACTGAGAATCTTGTCAATGTCGGGCATTGGATCTGCTATCCAATCTCTTCTGAGACTTGAGCACATGCTTATATGACTTTTAGTGTGCTCATACTGTGTGTATTCAGAGTTCTAACTCTCCTCTTTCCCCTTATTTAAACTCTAACTTATGTAAGAACTCACCTGTCTATTCCCACTTAGATATGAGTGACTGTGGAAGACACTGAGATGTCCAAGAAGTAAGAATTTTTTTCCCTACAGGCTGCCACAGCCACTTTGAACTTTGCCTTGTTAGCAAAGCAAGGTCTCCAGAAGCAAAAAACTCCACAGTGAGAGATTAGACAAGGAGGAAGGGACAGCTTCTTGCTTCTAAGGAAGGAGGAGTTTTACCCATGCAGTACTATCCTATTTTTAAGATAGTGTTGGTTAACTTAATGTGAACCTGAAAACCGGATACAGGAAAACAATAAAAGTAAAAGGGGGGGATTATGTAAGTCATCTGTGGTACAAAGGGTCAGGACACCAGATTTAACAGATCATACTATGTGCACATAAATACAACCAACGTGAAATTTTTCCAAACATACCTTTTTGTCTCTTACTTTTCCTACTTCTTCACTTGTTTGTTCAGTGTCTGCAGCTTCAACTTTTATTCCCACACCAAACTGCTCTGATACAGACTCATTCAAAAACCACAAATCATCTGTGGTGTCTGAAACAATGGCAGTACCTATATCCTAATAGAAAGAAACAAATGTGAGTTTTTGTAGTCAGAGGCTTATCAGTGACATTGAACCAACAGAAATGAACCCAAAACTCAATATCCTCACATACCTCCAAAGAACACCTAGCCTTTCTTCGGTGGACATCTATTCATTCAACAGATAATTACTTGGCACCTAACTATGTATAAACTAATGAATGGATATAGGGAGCCTGGCAAGGAATTTTCTATTTTTTTTTAAAGATTTTATTTATTTATTCACGAGAGACAGAGAGAGAGAGAGCGGCAGAGGGAGAAGCAGGCTCCCAAGGAGCAGGGAACCCGATGTGGGACTCGATCCCAGGACTCTGGGATCATGACCTGAGCCGAAGGCAGACACTTAACCATCTGAGCCACCCAGGCGCCCAGGAATTTTCTATTTTAACAGTAAATCAGGTATAAGACCTGAGAAATAGTACTGAAAAGCTTAAAAGCTAAAGACATGAGTTGCTCAACTAAACAGAACCCGTTCCCTAAATTTCCTTTCCAAAGGTGACACCCCAAGAACCTAGAAAACATTCTATTAACTGTGATATATTATTTCCTTTATGGTCAATAATGTTTACTGAAGGACACGTGGGTGGCTCAGTCAATTAAGCATCCAACTCTTGATTTCGGCTCAGGTCATGATCTCAAGGTCATGAGATTGAGCCCCATGTCAGGCTCTGTACTCAGCACAGAGTCTGCTTGAGATCTCTCTCTCTCTCCCTCTCCCTCTGCTCGCTCTCTCTAAACAAATAAATAACATCTTAAAAAAAAACAATAATGTTTATTGAAATACAAGAAATATTTACGGTAACTCAAATCTTCTGTCCTGACTCTTTCTGAATTCCTAAACGACTTTAAATATAACCTTCTTTCTGCATTCATCTATGGATATTTTTTAAGATTTTATTTATTTATTAGACAGAGAGAGACACAGCAAGAGAGGGAACACGAGCAGGGAGCCCAATGTGGGGCTCGATCCCAGAACCCTGGGATCATGACCTGAGCCGAAGGCAGACACTTAACGACAGAGCCACCCAGGCACCCCGCATCTATGGGTATTTTATGACATGCTTTTCTATACTATTCCTAAGAGAAAACTTATTATTTTGCCACTATTCTATATCCATTCATTTACTGAGCAAATATTCATTGAATTCCTATTACGTGTCAGATACTGTTCTAGGTACTAGGTAAGAGAATAAAGTGATGAATAATGTGAAAGCCCTGGACTTTCATTTCAGTAGGGGTAAATAGGCAATAGATACATAAACAAAATAACAGTTTTTCAAAGTGAGAAGTGCAAGAGAATATAAAATAAGATAAAGGAACAGAATGCTTATGGTTTGAATTAGGGTGTAACACCGGAAGTAATAAAAGTTGTTAGATTTTGGATGTTTTGGATAAAGAACTAATAACCTGCATGTGGCATATGACAGATACAGAAATCGATGCTATCCCTTTAGATCTGGCTGGAATAACTGCATAGAAGGTAGATTTGTGAAAAAGGAAAGGCCGTAAAGGAATGTTTAGAAAAAATTAAAAATAAAATCAAGAGCTCTGGTTTGAACATGTTAAATGTCAGATCATCTAAGTGGAGGTGTGGAGTAGGCAGCTGAATATAGAAGCTGGGCATTTAGAAAAGAGGTCAGGGCTGCAGATACGGATTTGAGCAGCAGACGCACACAGATGGTACTTAAAGTCATAGCGCTGAATGAGAATTCTTACAGAATGCAATGTGTGGTCAAGAGTAACCAAGAATGTTACTCTTTAAAAAAAAAACAAAAAAAAAAACCAGAAAGTTCCTCTTCAAATGTGACATTTACCTGATTTGTCTGTAAATCAGTCGAGCCATTACTTCTAGGTGTATAGTTGCTCCTCAGGTTTCCTAAAAACCACCAAGGCAGCCCAGCTACATCCCACTCCTCAAACCCAAGGTCCAGCTTAGATGTCTCATCTTGGGTTAAGTTTTTTATGAAGTCTTCATCTACAGCAGTCAAATGGAAAGGACAGTAACTACGTACACAACACTAAGAATCAAAACTCGCTTTGTAACATTACAATCTCTTTATAAGACAGGTAAAAAGAAATTTCCACAGCCAGTATGAAAGAAACAGAAATCAAGTAGCTCAGTCACAGAGCCCAGACCTCCTCTCAAATTTAGGCCTCATTCATTAGCAAGTAACGACACTAGAAGCAGATGATCATTTATCAAGCAATCTAAACTCTGAAAACATCCAAACAATGACATGGTTCTAGGAGGATTTCGAAATGGTTATTTACTGCCATGTTATACATTCACACCGTGGCATTAACTAAAGAAAAGACTTGCTCTCGTACATGATGCCCGATAATGGCCTGATCCATGAACTGCAAATGGTGGCGGCAGAGGGGCCAAACCTGAAGACAGAAGCAAGGCAGTCCAGACTGAATGGGCATCCAAAGGTTGTCAAGGCAGTCTCACTGCTACGTATTTATGGATGTTTCTCATGAATTCATGTTTGGATAGGTAACAACCATTATAAAACACTGAACTCTACGTTGTCTAAGTAAATCTATACCTATGTCCTTTCTGGATCGAGGGGCTCTCTTTTGGAGTTTCTAGATCTCTAAGACCTAGAAATCTTGCAAACCCAAAACATAAGAAGGCACCACATATTCCAAGTAAAAGATCTTGTGTTGTACATCCAAATGACATTCAAGATGATTACTAACATAAGGCTGGTGCTACCACAACATCCCATCATCCAATCTTTTGTTATGCTATTCTCTTTCCCCACTTCCTCACTCTCCTCTACCTCTTCCCAATGCACCAGCCACACCGATAGCAACCACAGGTGCTTAAATGTGTTGAGGTACATGTGCTCGAAAACTTGCAATAAATGGGTCCCTGTCAGAACAAAAGATTACCTTATCTACTTACAAATTATGTTGAACGCTGCCCATTAAGTTCAGGGGAAGTTCAGCTTTTTACTTACTCATTACAATTAACGAAACCCCAATTCTGAGATGATGCCATATTAAAGTTATCCTCGTCTCTTCAAGCTCTCTAACATCTTGTAAAGGGAACAGAAGTACCCTTCCCATGTATACAAACTCTGTCCTTTCTACCTACACACTTTCCTGAAAATACTAAGCTCTTTATTCTCAAAATCTACAGCACAAACTAAATACGGTCTCTTGAATAGGCTATTCTTGTATTTCTGAGTAGCAAACAAGCAAGGACCTGCATTTAAAGAAGAAATTACACATTTAATACCGTACAGACTGAAATAAACTCCAAGGTGACTAGGTAGCTCAAAATTCGGTTGCATGATAAACTGATTCAATTTTAAACATTTGAGACAATTACAGCAGCATCACTCTCTGAGATATTGCTGGAGGTCTAACCTGCCATTGCTCCAAGTGTGAGCCAGTACCGAAACTAGAAACTATCATGCCGTAAAATACCTGAGTAATTTATGATTTTATATACCTGTATAGAAAAAATTTTAGGAGATACTTTATAAAGCAGAGCTTGGGGAAAACTTTCAAAATATCGATTAACCCATTTAACCTGACCACAGCATATCCAGTATGGATGGCCAAGACCTCAGAACTATCATCCAAGAGCAAAGGAACTACTAGGCCTCTGACGTCTCATTCTTGGCTCTGACAGACTAAGTATGCATCATCTTTACAAACTTTAAAACTCTACAAAAATTAGCCTTTGCCTCAAGCAGACAAATCAAAATAAAAATCCTAACCAGACTGAACATATACAAGTACGTCAATATTTAAAAGGCCAAGGCAGGTGATATACTAGGTGGCAAACTGATAAATCTGTAGCGAGCTTCTATTAGCATGCCAGCCAAAGGACAGGTCTTGCTCCATCCCAGTAAACACAGGTTGCTAAAAGAGCACTACCACCTTCTTCAAAGTTAACAATGGTCACTAGGGTAAAGAAAAAGTTTTTAGAAAAGAATGAGAAGTAAGTATGACATATACCTCTCCTACTTCATATACAAAGAAAGTGCATTATTATTTTTTGAGTTGTCTACAGAATGGTCTCAATTACAGCCAGTGCTTAATGTGAATAAATGTCATTTCTAGAAGTTATCAACAAAAGAAAGAAAAAAAATGTATAGCCTTAATCCAAAACTTACCTTCTCTAGAATTTCTGCATTTATGTTGTGAGGTAGGCAGTGTAGGAATATTGCCTTCTTCCATTCTTTTCCTGGAACTGGAACTTTCTTCTGCACTTTGCTGGAAAAAAAGGGAAAGATGTCTATTAGTGCAGTAAAAATGACTGAGACCAGGGGATGTAGCAGTTCCATTCTGGCTCACCAGTTAGTGTGCGGCACAATGGGTTATGCACAAGAAAGAGATCTCTGAAGTTCACAACAGTCATCAAATAAAGGCAACATCTCTCCTTAACCCACTGGGAGCAGAGCTAAGAGAATCCCAAACCTGGGGGGGGAAAAAAATCTCTGCACAAAAGGCCAAAATCTACTGTTAAAAACAGGCTATCAATGTAAAGCCTCTATACTACAAAATTAGGCATAATTCAGAAAACATGTGAAACCCTCAGCATATACCAAGATGATCATAAAGTTTTCCCAGGTCTGGAGAAGATTTAAGAATGGCCTGACATGAACTTAATTGCAAAAAGCCTGTTAAAATCTAATAAAGCAGTTTTCTCAAACACCTATATACATACACCATTACACACACAGGCATACACAAACCCCAAAGAAAATGCAACTGGAGGAACTGAAGATCAGAAGTGCTACATCCCAAAGAAAGATTCAGAGACTGGAACTCTGTTATGGGCAGAACAGAGAAGTTTCACTCTGTCCCTGGTCTGTGAACTCCCAAGAACCTTTCTTATTAAATTCTTACCACATTCAGAGAAAGGTCTTGGGAGTCCAAGATCCATAGGTACAGAGAAGGGGCCACTCTGTACAACAAAAGAAGTCACCGTGTGGTGATTTTACCTTCAGTTGGTCTTGACTTGGAATATCCATACTGTGATCCTGTGCGAGAGCGAGAGTCTGAGCGGCATCTGGATAGCAAGTAAAACAAAAGGAAAACCTTCCCTGGTAATAACCATTCTTTCCACATAAAAAGGACCTCAGCAAACAACCCTGGAGCCAGGTTTGCTCCCTAAAAATGTACTCCTCCGTGTTGGCTGCACAAGGCTCTCATCCAAAAGGGAAAAATCAAAACTGATAAAAATGGCAAAGACCAAGACAGGCTATATTCAAAATGTATTACCAAAATGTAATCTGGGAGAAAAATGGAAAAATAACTAAAAAATGTTCATGGCAAACTTTCAAATTTTAATATGAAAGTGATTCCAACCAAGAAATAATGAAGAGTATCTTTTATTATCTCTTCCCACAGGTTTTTTATTATTCAATCTGCCTAACTTGTAAACAACAGCAAAAAAAGTTTGGCCTTTAATTTTTATTTGCAACTGTTAAAAGTTATACAGGGTTATGAAATCTGAAAATCTGGAATTCTCTCCACTTCCTTCATCACACAATAGCACCTCATGGAAACTTATATTCTTAAGTGTCAATGATGATTTCCTAGCTTAAACTCCCATAACCTGAATATAGAGTAGGTGTTTTTAATTAACAAGTTTTATTTTTCCCAGTTACTATAAACATTTCTTAAGAAGGAAGGGAGAGCAGATAAAGTTTTTCTCAAAGTCAATGAAAAGCCAGGAAAACAATAACCTGACAGAAATTCTTAGTCTGAGAGAAATATATTTCGAGGACTTGGAAACTTTTCAAGCAGAACAGAAGATGAAAACTGAGCTACAGGAAAACGACAAACTGCAGAGAATTTAGTAACCTAGACTGCTCATTATATGAGGTTATATGTAACTGAAATGTTCCCAAATAAGTCTACCAAGGGTTGGGTTCATTAGCTACTATCAGGTCCAGAGATAAGACACTTAAGGAAAACCTCATCCTCACATAATAAAGACTGCCAGAGAAAAGAATACGGATCCTACAACTGGTCTGATAATTCAGTTGTTTTGCACAAAGCAAACAATTTCAAAATTGTAATTATAAAGAGCATGACTTCTACAAGCATTTTTATAGGTAAATAGAGAATACTGAGAAGTTTAAGAGACAGCATTTTCTGACCACAGTGATCTTCAAAGATCAACTAAAGAGACAATGCAGATAAAGAATTTCTTTAATAAAGCAACTTGCTTACTGTCATTTATAGTTCTAACACCTTACTATCTTCTTAGGTTAAAACATTTAGAAGCAGGGGCGCCTGGGTGGCTCAGCCCATTGGGCATCTGCCTTCAGCTCAGGTCATGATCTCAAGGTCCTAGGACTGAGCCCCATGTCAGGCTCCCTGCTCAGCGGAGAGTCTGCTTCTCCCTCTCCTCCTGCCCCTCCCCCACTCGTGCGCTCAAGCTCTCTCTCTCTCTCTCTCACTCTCTCAAATAAATAAATAAGATCTTTAAAAAAATAAAACGTTTAGAAGCAAAAAAATTATCTGGGAAAATCACAATGTACAAAGGAATTTTAAAATAAAGTAGGTCATATATATTTCATTTTGTTGGTATACATGTGGAGATTTGGACAAATGATTCATAAAGAACCACCTTTACTTTAAACAATGATATTTTCTCAACCATCAAAATAAAAGGTTTAACTCACTTGCAAAGGTGTACAACAGATGATACAGAAAACATTTTTCTCATTTGTCCTTTTAAATAAAACACATGCAATCCAATTTATTCAGATCAACAGAGATAACCAACTACAGGCACCAATGCAAGTGCAAGTCAAGAGCAGACAATCATAATTACTTTGGGGCAATATTCTGGTTTTCAATATTGCACTACGGTTATATGTTAGTTACCATTTGGGGAATCTGGGTAAAGAATATTTAGAACTCTATTATACTTTTACTACTTTTTTGTAACTAAAATTATTTCAAAGTGACAAGTTTAAGAACAAACAAAATGTTTTAAAGATTTAATGTTCAGAGAGAAAAAAGTGTTCAAAAAAATTGGGGCAAATTCTGTTATGACATCAATGTGTAGCACATGAAAAGAGCAAGAACCAGTCAGTCAGAAATACCTGTTCTACCAATTATCAGTGGCAACTAATCTTGGACAAATCACTCATTCTATTAAAAAAGCAAAAAACAAAAACAAAACAAAAAACCCCTCCGTTTCATCATCTCCAGACCTTCCTCACGGGGTTGTTGTGAGGATCAACTGAAATGTTATCAAACTGTTCATTTTAATAGATGGCATGTTAAATGCTGCAAGTGCGAGAGAGAGAGAGAGAGAGGAAAAGTGAGAATTACATCCACTCGAGTTATCCAGAGAACAGATCAATCAGAAAACAAATGCTACTGAAATAGTAGATCAGCAAATATAAAATCCTCTGTGTATTTCAAGCCTGCAGTGAGTATCCCAGGAAAGCCCTATATTTCACAAGTGACTGAATTTCAATAAAGCACCATATTATTTGCAAGGCCTTCCCACTCAACAGAAATTTACAGCTGGGTAAAGTGGGCAAGGTGGACAAATGGCTCAATGAAGTCAACAGGCTACAAAATTCAATGTAAGTTCAAAATTACATTTCAATACAAAAGCACAGTCTCTCTGCTCTCACGTTAAATCATAAATCTTTATTAGGAATGGATTCTTTTCAATTATTTGTTTCACTAAACTATTAAAAGATAACCAATCTGATTACAAACTTGGGCTTTCTTTAAAGGATAAGGTTACCTAAAATCTAATTTGAAGTTCACAAAAGGGCTTCACAGAGGAATGGAGAAAAAAAAAAAGTTTCATTATTTGGAAATGAGTAAAAGACAGGGTTACATTTAAGTTATATCCAGTTGATTGATCTCTAACATCATACTTCAGATCCCAAAGCAGCCCACTTCCTGCACCTACCTAATAAACTCAAAAGGCAGTATTTAAAATATATGGAATCAAGCAAAGCGTGTTAGACAAATTGGCATTCATATAACAGAAAGCTAAAACCATTAGGTGAAAGGTTCTTCTTGGGGGACCCTAATAACAGATGGATCAGAGTAACACCACATGAGCCCATGGAATCAACATCACTTAAAGAGGGACAAGTGGACCTTACATGACTCAGGTGTGATGCAACAGATGTACAAAGCACCACCTATGACACCTTCTCAGCAAAAAATTTAAACTTGAAACTATTCAAGCATTACTAGTTTACGGAAAATAGAAGAAATAGACAAACACGTTCAACGACATCACAAGAATATAATCTGCAACCTCTAGAATGTGGGAAATTCTATAGGACAAATGATCCATTTCTTCAACAAATAAATGACATAAAAATAAAAGGAGGATTGTTTTATAAAGATACTTAGAGACATATCAACCAAATGCAATGTGTGGACTTTGTCTGGATCTTGATTTCAACAAGCCAAATGTAAAACACATTTCTGGGATGACTGGGGGTAAACTATATATACACTGGCTATTGGATAGTATTATGGAGTTATTATTTACTTTATTATTATTAATTTTGTTGGGTGTAAAAATGACACCATAGTTATGTTTAAAGGAAAAAGGTCCTTATCTGTTAGAGATTTTAAAAGTATGTCCAGATGAAAAAAAAGTAATAATAAAATTAAGAAAAAAAAAAAGTATGTCCAGATGAAGCAAATGTGGCAAAATGTTAACAATTACTAAGTCTAAGAGATGGGCATTACACTAATCTATTTTCAGTATATTTGAAATTTTTCACAGTGAAAAGTTAACATCCCGGTAACATTCTGTATGACAGGTATCCCTCCCAATCATGCCAACACAGCATTTCATTTCCATCTTGATCCTCCTTGTTTTCCCATCATTTGCCCCCTTGAGCTCAAAGCTGTGATACAGTCTGAAGAAATAGGATGTGACGTACCTGTAGTAGCAGAGGCTAAAGTGACAAGATTCTTTCTTAGCATATCATAGAGAGGGCTGTCAGAGAGAAAAAAAAAATATGAATAACCTCATGGTTTTCCATTAAAATGTTACATGTCTATCTGATACGTGATCTTCCAACTTTCTCTATAACACATGGAGAAGCAGAATGTTTTCCCCAGAATAGATTTGTTTGTAATTATTTAAATGTCAAGATATTCATGTCCAAGTGCTTGTGATACTCTGCCCCCATTAAGAAACTAATTAATTTACATTTTATTTAATTAGCTAACAGTAACACAAGATTTCCTTTGGAGACCATTCCTTCCCACTAGGAATTAAGTTTTACAATTTTAATTGAGGAAGGGGTGGAAGGGAGTCTTACCAAAGTAAGACAAAATGAGCTCAGAAGAAACAGTCATCACAAAGCTATAGAAAGAAAACACTGGCTTCTCAATTACTAATTAGCTTTTGACTCTGTAACAACCATATACACCCCATGCAGCTGGAGAAAAATCACACAACAGGTCAGAGAAGCTCTACTGTGATTCTTTTTTCCTTTTTTTTTTTTTAAGAGAGAGAATGAGTGGGGTTAGGGGAAGAGGGAGAAGCAGACTCCCTGAACAGCAGGGAGCCTGACATCCGGTTCAATCCCAGGACTCTGAGATCATGACCTGAGCTGAAGGCAGACGCCCAACCAACTGAGCCACCCAGGCGCCCCTCTACTGTGATTCTTATGAAGCCCATCATTCGACCTCAAACTGCCCAGCAATGCTACATTTCTCTAATCAGCTCACTCTTCCTCTCTGTAACAGCTCCTTCACAAAATTCTATCCTAGCCACATCAAGCTCCTCCTACCCAGGCCTTTGGACATGAATTCAGTCTGCCAGAAGCTCTCCAACACTCTCCTGGAGCACCTCTCTCTCCTCACTTATCCTGCAGCTCTCCGCTCAAATAGCACTTCCTCAAGGAACTGTACCTTGACCCCTAAGACCCTAAATCCCACCCCCAACACAGCTTTATGTACCTCTTGTCTGTAACACCCACAGGATAATTTTACCATGTGCTGGTGTGATAACCTGATTAAGATGGGGAAGAGCATCCACTGTCTCACTGCTCTTTAAGCTCCGCAGAATCTGAGACTGTTGCTCACTAACACGTTCTCAGGGCCTCAAAGGTTACCTGACATATGTAGGCCCTTAAATACTGATTGACTAAAGGAATAAATAACCATTAATATCCTATGGAGACTGAGTGGTGAGATATAAGCACCCAAAAAGATAAACAAACCCTCATTCTTCTTACCTTGGATCCTTCACGGAGAAGCTCTGACGTCCTAGCAGTTCTCCCAAAAGATCTCCACCACAATACACCATATGCTGCTCCCGCTGATCATAAAGCTGCTTCACCATTATATACTGGCCTAGATAGTGCATGACCTGCAGGGCAATAAAACCGTATAAAGAGATCTGTCCAACAGCTCCAAAGAACACAAATTAATTACGGTAAGATAAGGGAAGTTAGTTTGTTAGAAAAAGAGAAAACACATATGAGCATGACTGTCAGTGCTTGTGTAAGGAGTCCTACAACAAGATGGCTGTCCCCAACTACTAGGTTCATCCATTTATTATCATGCTGGATATCAAGAGACTCTTATTTTTTAGAATAGAGATGTAGTGGTCTGACAATGAGAACAAGTGTTGAATCTACCTAGTATCCCCTTAAAAATTTTCTCACCAGTCCAAATAAAGAGGTCTGTTCTATGACTAGAAGAAATAAACTTTAAATGTGCCTGGGTCTTAAAAATATTTTCCAAGTCCAGGGACACATAACTATAAGATGCTTTTGACGCATGTTCACTTAATTCTTTTTTGGCAAATGAAGTACAATGGTTAATAAGCCATCAGCACTGTAAGTGCATAAAACATAGAATCTAGTATCTACCAAATAAAAATTTACCTGGCTTTTTTCAGAGTTCACAAAAATGGAAGGAACTCAGACAAGTTCATGATTCAAAAGTTTTAAATTATCTATTTTTTCCTAATGTTTTCTCTATGCAGATTTTTTTAAAAGGCTTAATAATTAAGTTCACTTAATGACAGTCAGAACTTTGTTGTCATAGATCACAAGAAGACCAAAGCAGCTATCTTTATCCTTAGGCCCCAACTTCTCAGGAATTATTAGATATCTGCACAGAAGATTTTTCCAACACTGTTCCCATTACATTGGTACAATAATGCTCCTAAGCTCCCCTCTATACCAAGCAACATTTCATCCCAGATAATCAAATATCTAGGGGGAAATAAGATGGGGAACAGCATCCACTGGAAGAAAAAGGAGGAAGTTTTATATTTATATCTGTCCAACTTCCAGAAGAAATAAATTCACCCTAAGTATACAAAATAAGATCTTCGGGGTGCCTGGGTGGCTCAGTCGGTTAAGCAGCTGCCTTCAGCTCAGGTCATGATCCCAGGGTTCTGGGATCAAGTCCCGCATCGGGCTTCTTGCTCAGCAAAGAGCCTGCTTCTCCCTCTCCTTCTGCCTGCCTGCCGCTCCCCCGCTTGTGCTCTCTCTATCTCCCTCTCTCTGTGTCAAATAAATAAATAAAATCTTTAAAAAAAAAAAAAAAGATCTTCTAAGACAGTATAGATCATCTACCCTATAAATGTGTACATAATTGTTTGCAGCCACTGCCGCACCATCAGAATCTCTAGCTCCCGGAGCTCCAGCTGAAGGAGAAGGGGGAGTAAGTAAGGTCTCTATACTATGGCTTGTACAAAGCAAACCACTCGCAAATCAACCGGTGGTAAAGCTCTGAGGAAGCGACTGACTACAAAAAGCCACTTGCAAGAGTGTGCCCTCTTCTGGAGGGGGTGAAGAAACCTCATCATTACAGCCCGGGTACCGTTGCACTCCGTCAAATTAGACGTTATCAGAAGTCCACTGAACTTCTGATTCCCAAACTTCCTTTCCAACATCTGGTGCGAAAAATTGCTCAGGACTTCAAAAGAGATCTGCGCTTCAGTGAAGCTACCGAAGCTTTGCAGGAGGCAAGTGAGGCCTGTCTGGTGGGCCTTTTTAAAGATGCCAAACTGTTTGCCATCCATACCAAACATAGAACAATTATGCCAAAAGACATCTATCCAGCTAGCATGCCACACACGGAGAATGTGCTTAAGAATCCGCTATGATGGAAAACATTTCATTCTTTAAAAAAAATTCTTCTTCCTGTTGGTAGTTCTGAACATTAGATATTTTTTCCCCATGGGGTCAAAAAGTAACTAAGTATATGATTACAGGTGGAAAAATAGGGGACAGAAATCAGGTATTGGCAGTTTTTCCATTTTCATTCATGTGTGAGTTTTTTAATATAAATGCGGGGATCTAAGGCATCCATGCAAGTCAAAACATTTCAGTGAACAAGTCTCAGCAGTTCAACTTCACAACAATTATAAATAAACCCGTTATACTTTTCTGGACAATTTGGATTTTTTTTATTTTATTTTTTTTAGATTTTATTCATTTGAGAGAGAGAGCTCGTGTGTGAGAGAAAGCACAAGCAGGAGAGTGGCAGAGGGAGACGGAGAAACAGACTCCCTGCTGAGTGCAGAGCCTGAGGCAGGGCTTGATCCCAGGACCCTGCGATCAAGACCTGAGCCTGAGCCTGAGCCGAAGGCAGAGGCTTAACCAACTGAGCCACCCAGGTGCCCTGGATTTTTTTTTTAAACAAGTAAATTTCTGGGGCCCCTGGGTGGCTCAGTCATTAAGTGTCTGCCTTCGGCTCAGGTCATGGTCCCAGGGTCCTGGGATGGAGCCCCGCATTGGACTCCCTGCTTGGCGGGAAGCCTGCTTCTCCCCTCCGGCTCCCCCTGCTTGTGTTCCCTCTCTTGCTGTCAAATAAATTAATTAATGCTTTAAAAAATAATAATAATAAAAATAAAATAAACAAGTAAATTTCTTACTGACAGTAACTGTATGGTGTTGGTAGCATTTTTATCATATGGTAGATCCATCCATTCACTATATTTTTCTGAGTTGTCCTATATGCAAGTACATGTTTTTAAATGTTGTCTGTCTTCTGTGCTGTTCCCGTAAGTTTACTATTAAAATGCATTAAAAAGGGCACCTGGGTGGCAGTCAGTTAAGCGTCCAACTCTTGGTTTCGGCTCAGGTTGTGAGACGAGCCCCACACTGGACTCCGTGCTCAGCACAGAGTCTGCTTAACACTCTCTCTCCTTCCCCCTTTGCCCCCTCCCACCTACCTGCATGCTCACCTGCACGCTCTAATAAATAAATCAATCTAAATAAATAAATAAATAACGCATTAAACTAGGAGCACCTGGCTGGCTCAATCAGTAGAGCCTACAACCCTTGATCTCGGGGTTGTGAGCTCGAGCCCCACAATGGGTGTACAGATTATTTAAAAATCAAATCTTAAAAGAATAATAAAATAAAAATAAATGCATTAAACTAAAAAAATAAAAAATTAATAATGTGTACATAATTACTACTCTTATTATATCATACTGCCTCAATGCACATATTGAGAACCAATATTTAAAAATAAAAAATTAAATTCTTTATGCACCAGATAGGGTCAAAATTCATAATAGAGAGCTTCATGTAAACGGACTCTAATTTTTTCCCCAGTAAAACATTCTTTCTGACCAATATGTACTTAATTTCTTCTTAACCCAGGAAAACTCTACCATGCGATTGAAGGAGATAGCGTAATTCATTGTAACAACCTTATTGATAGAAAATTCCATACTTCAGGGCAGCTGGGTGGCTCAGTTGGTTAAGCACCGACTCTTGGTTTGGGCTCAGGTCATGATCTCATGGGTCCTCAGATCATCGAGCTCAATGCCGGGCCCCCACACTCAGCACCCACACTCAGCACGGAGGCTGCTTGAAAACTCTCTCCTTAGCATCCTTTAGATGCTAAATAAGTTATTTAAATGCATAAGTGTTTGAAATAACTCCCAGTGCTCAGAAAAGTACTGGACACATTTATAATGAAAAACTACTGCATTTAATTCCTGCCTGGCAGTACATCCTATAAATCATAGACAGTGTCATTTTTTAATCTTGTACATGCTTTGCATTTTAACTCTGAGATCAATGAATTAACGGTTAATTTTATGTTTGGCTGACAACATACTTCAAAAGGATATTTAAAGGAAATATGAAGCTCAATTTAGCTCAATGGTCTTTAAAACAAAGCAAAAGTTGCCTCTCTAGTACCTCAGGCAGAGAATTTCCTTTCTTGGGCCTGATTTCAGAACTATATATTCATCAGCTTCTACTTTTTTATTTTCATCAGCTTCTACTTCTCAGCTGTTCTTATAACTGAGAATTCTCTTTGATGGCTTACCTCTTTAACAGTGAACATTTCACCTTGTGCACCTGCTGCCTGCAAAATCTTCAAAAGTGGCTGTTTTGGTCGTACCTGATATAAACATAAAATAAACCTGCTATTTACATTCCAACTAGATTGGTTTCTGAAACCCTAGGGAACAAGAAAACCTCCTTTTTTTTTTTAACAAACGCTGGTAGATACTTATCATCTAATAACATACAATCTTCCAATACATACAATCATAGCAGATAATCAGACTACTACTTGTCACCTCTCTGAAAAATCACATTTTCAAGACAGCTACTAGGATGGCCATAATAAAAAGAAAAAAGGAAACAAAAGTAAGTATTGGCAAGCTTGTGGAGAAGTTGGAACCCTTGTGTACTGCTGGTGGGAAGATAAAATAGTTCAGCTGCTATGGAAAACAGTTTGGCAGTTCCTCAAAAAGTTAAACACAGAATTACCATACGACCCAGCAGTTCCATTCCTAGGTATATACCCAAAAAAACTGAAAGTAGAACTCAAACAAGTATTTGTACACCAGTGTTCACAGGAGCATTATTCACAATAGATAAAAGATGGAAACAACCCAAATAGCACCGACAGGTGAGCAGATAAACCAGATGTGGTATAAACACACATGGGATAGTGACTCTGACATTTCTTGACTCTGTGGAGTCTGTCTTTAGCCACACAATTTTATCTTTAAAATTTTTATGGTCAAAGTTGTCTCTCTCTTCCTCTTACAACCTCTTTGGTTTTGTCTTATTTAAGGCCCCCTTCATCCTAAAGTTTCACAAGCATTTCCTAAATTTTTTCTAGTATTATTTCCCTTTTTACATTTAAATCTTCATCTATCTGGAATTTGTTTTTGTACAAAGTTTGAGGTCTTCATTTGTTTCCTTCCAGAGATGGACAATTACATCAAAACCATCTATTACATAAGCCAAATTTCCCATCAAATCCAAATTTGGATTTGGATATGTGCAATGCATTTTGTGCAATGTTTATGAAAACACAAGACCAAATTATGTATTTTTATATGTTAGAGGAAAGATCTGAAACAAGACACACCAAATTAATAACAGTGTTGTCTTAGGGGGAGGGGACTTTGGGGGAAGAAGAGAAGAGACAGTCAAGGAGTCCTTATAGATAAATACTTTATAAATACGTTATAAAATTGAATTGTTTAATAAGAATATATTTGCTATATTTACAACTTGAAATTAATTTTTAGGGGTGCCTGGGTGGCTCAGTTGGTGAAGCAACTGCCTTCAGCTCAGGTCATGATCCTGGAGTCCCAGGATCGAATCCCACATCAGGCTCCCTGCCCAGCAGGGAGTCTGCTTCTCCCTCTGACCTTCTTCCCTCTCATGCTCTCTCTCTACCATATTCTCTCTCTCAATAAATAAAAATCTTTTTAAAAATTAATTTTTAAAGAAAACAAACTTTTGTTAAAATGAAGTGAGAGACAGAAAACATACAACTTGATCCCAAATTCTCCACAAGCCACCCATACTCTAAAACACAAGTTTTCAAAATGTACCATATTTTAAGCAATCTGTAACCTCCACATCTTTATTTAATCAATAATCAATTCAAATTTTGAGCACTGACACCATTTCCTAGTTTCCCTAATATGGCATTTAAAAAATAATCCATTCTGCTCTACATAAAATCCTAGTCAGTGAAGTCACCTACATGCTCCAACTCAATTTTTTTAAAGCTTACAGAAAACTAGGAATGCCTAAAAATGATTTACCTGATTGGTTTGTTCTGGAGAGATCCTGCAAGCACTGTCAGAAGTTGAACACTGGGCAGAGGTGGAAAATGATGTCATTTTGGCAGTGAAGAAATTGCCGTCTGCTGATAAATCTAAAAGGAAAAAAAAAACATTATGAAATCTCTTTCAAAGTAGAAAATTCTCACTTTAAGATTTACAAAATAGCAGCCAGAAGTAAAAAAAAAAAAAAAAAAAAAGACACACGTATCAGAGCGCCCTACACAAATGCAATATATCCATATGAGGTTCTTGATACTCTTCTTATCCCTAAGTTCAGATCCTACAAAAAACTGAAGAGTTTAATTAATAGTCAGAACCATCTATGCTTCCCTCAGGTAAAGCCTGAAACAGAAACAGGTTCAGGCATGCTCCAACCTCCACAGTGATGATAATGAGAAAACTGTTTTAGCTGAAAGTCAAACTTACAATCACTACTTCCCCAATGGGTATCAGGGTTTCAGTAACTCCTCCTCTCTTGAACAGTGCTCAAGAGCACCCCCTGGAAGACAACTGATGTAGAGTTGGGGGAATTACCAAGATTAAGTAATAGATTTAAGATTCCAAGAGCGCATCAAGAAAAACCTCTGCAACATGTTGAAACATGTCTTGGCAAGGAACTGCAGGAAAGTGAGAATCAAATTACTCAGTATCAGTTAAAGCAGCTTTTAATACCTGCCAAACCCAAAGAGTATATAGCAACTAAATACCTACAAGATGGGTTAAGCCAAGGTGGACATTTATCATCAAGGAAAGATACAGCATGAAATGAAACAGAGAGTAAGTTTTAGTTAAAATTTTTCACCTTCTACCATCTCTCCTTTAAAAAAATTAAAAAAAAAAAAGCTTTAAGAGGGAAAATAAAATTTTAAATAAACTTGTTGAAGTTTACCGTCAGGCCTTTTTCTAGTAAAAAGGTGATAAATGATCAGTGAAATTTATGACCAACAAGCCACAGCAGGGAAAGGGTGAAAGGGGCCTGGAAAAACTGACAAATAGTCTGGCTAAACTAACAAGATTCCTCAATCTTCTGAGAATACTTACTAACTGTAACAAAATACAAATTTCTCCCTCCCCCATCTGCCTCCCTTGCTACAAAATGGGAAGTCAAATAGGATACAAGCATAATTTACAATTTTAAAGCAGCTACCTCCTAATTAGCATTTCAAACCTTATACCTAAAACACCAGTCCTGATCTTCCCAAACCTGCCAGTCCTGCAGTCTCCCCCATCTCAACAACCGGCAACTCCACCCTTCCAGTTGCTCATGTCAACGACCTTGAAGCCATCCTTGATTCCTTTTTCCTTCACATTCCACATCCAGTTCATAAATAAACCCTAAAGCTGTATCTTCAAAATATATCCAAACTCTAACCATTTCCCACTTTAATTACTGCGCTAATCCAAACCACCTACCTCTCAACTACACTACCCTCCTAAGGTTTTCTTGCTCCCACCCTTGCCCTTCGAGCTCCTAACCTCCTCCTTTTGTCTGCTCAAATGTCAGTTTACCGAGGCCTTCCATGACTACCCATTCTTAAAACTGCAACTCCCAGCCTCCAGTATTCCCTATCTCCTTCCCTGCCTTATTTTTCTTTAATGTCCTTGTTACCAACCAACATACTATACATTTTTAATTACTTATCATGTAAAACATAAGCAGCAAGTGGGCAGGGATTTGTATTTAATCATTCATTAATAAATCATTGGTGCCTAAACTGACAATTACATATACTGTAGAGCAACATGACGGATACAAGTATCAGTTAACAGTGTGGATGGGGGATGTGTGGCTCGCTTAGTCGGTGGAGCACGCGACTTGATCTCAGGATTGTAAATTCAAGCCCCATGTTAGGTCTACACTTACCTAAAAACAAAATCTTAAAAAAATGAACCACATCTCCCAAGTGGCTCTGTGATGTTTATCAACAGAATACAGTGGAAGTGATAATGTGCCAATTCCAAGCCTGGCAGCTTCATTTTTTGTGCTTTTGGAGACCCCTAAAATCTGACTACTCTACTGGAGACCACATAAAAGGGCCATGTGGAGAGGATTGTCCAGTTGAGCCCAGCCTTCCAGCCATTCCCTCCAAAGCACCACATATTACAGAACATTTCCAACAGCAGCGGTCAGCTGACCACAGCTGCAAGACAGACAAGAACTATCCAACTTAGCCCACAGAATCATAATAAATAAAATGGCTGTTGTTTTAACTCACTAAGTTGTTGGGTGGTTTATTACCTAGCACTAGATAATCAAATGGCACAGACTTATGGAGAGCTTACTCTGTACCAGGCACACATATTAACCCATTTAATACTTAAATAATCCTATGATGTAGGCAATATTATTACTATTATTTACAGTATAATTATTATTTATAGTATAATTATTAGTATAGTATAATAATTATTATTATCGTTTTACATCTAAGGCAAGAGAAGCATGGAGGTGTTATTTGCCCAAGATAATACAATTCATGCACCAAAAACTAATGATGTAATATATGGTGATTAACATAACAATAAAAAATTTAAAAAAAAAGATAATACAATTCAGTGAACTGCTAGAGTCAAGATACCGAACTCGAGAGTTCTGAAGTCCCCACCTAGTAATATTTTTTTTGCCTGTTAGACCTCAATGTACAGAATTAATCATAATCCTTTCCTTCAACATACTCTCATTGTTTATCCACACGGCCCACTTTTCCTTGATTCTTCCTGATGGAATAAGCACCTGCAAAGCAGTACTCTTGACAACAACCTATATTCAATTATAATATCCCCTCCCTATCCCATTCTCCTGCCTCTCCCCAACAATCATCCTTATCCTGTTTTGATTTTCTTCCCTTCCTTTTAATGCATTTTACTGCATCAAAATGGAATGCTAAAGAGTAAATATTTTGTTTAGTTGTTTTTAACTTAAAAAAAGCAGGTATAGGGGTGCACAGGTGGCTCAGTTGTTAAGCGTCTGCCTTCGGCTCAGGTTCCTGGGGTCCTGGGATAGAGCCCCCCCGCATCGGGCTCCCTGCTCCTCAAGAAGCCTGCTTCTCCCTCTCCCACTACCCCACTTGTGTTCCCTCTCTCACTGTGTCTCTGTCAAATAAATAAATAAAATCTTAAAAAAAAAGCAGGTATAGTAATTTGAAAGATTTTTGTTTCACTAACATTAATTCCTACCGTCGTGTCACTTTATTTTTATTTTTTTATTAACATATAATGTATTATTAGTTAGAGGTAGAGGTCAGTGATTCATCAGTCTTACATAATACCCAGTGCTCATTACATCATGTGCTCTCCTTAATGTCCATCACCCAGTTCCCCACACCCCCACCCCCCTCCAGCAATCCTGTTTGTTTCCCGTAATTATAAGAGTCCTTAGTTTTTTAATTTTATTGTAAACTAAATATAACATAAAATTTACCATTTCTAAGTGTACGACTCAGTAACATTAAGTATATTCACAATACTGTACACCATCACCACGATCCATCTCCAGAACTTTTTCATCACCAAACTGAAACTCTGCACCCATTAAACAGTGAGCCCTCCAATGACCCCTCCCCTCCAGGCCCCAGTAACCACAGAACTACTTTCTCTCTGAATATGCCTATACCAGATACCGCATATAAGTGAAATCACAACATCTGTCCTTTTGTGTCTGGCTTATTTCACTTAGCATAATGTTTTCAAGATTCATCATGTCACAGCATACTTTATTTTCCTTTTTTTTTTTTTAAGATTTTATTTATTTATTTGAGAGAGAGAGAATGAGAGACAGAGAGCACGAGAGGGAAGAGGGTCAGAGGGAGAAGCAGACTCCCCGCTGAGCAGGGAACCCGATGTGGGACTTGATCCCGGGACTCCAGGATCATGACCTGAGCCGAAGGCAGTCGCTTAACCAACTGAGCCACCCAGGCGCCCCATACTTTATTTTCCATTTATTTTGACTGTTGTATATTCCAGTGTGTGATGAACATTTGGGTTGTTTCTAGGTTTTCACCATTATGAATAGTGCTACTAGTAATATTCTTGTACATGTGCAAAAAAGTGTCTCTTAGGCATATCTGTAAGATAAATTGCTGGATCATAGCATATATGAATACCCAACTTTAGGAACTGATACCAAACTGTCTTCAAAGTGTTTGCACCAATCCACAATCCCATCAAGAATGTATAAGATAGGGCGCCTGGGTGGCTCAGATGGTTAAGCGTCTGCCTTCGGCTCAGGTCATGATCCCAGGGTCCTGGAATCCAGTCCTGCATCGGGCTCCCTGCTCCTCGGGAGCCTGCTTCTCCCTCTGCTTCTCTCCCTCTTTCTCTCCCTCTGTATCTCTCATAAATAAATAAATAAAATCTTTAAAAAAAAAATGTATAAGATATCCTGTGAATCCATCTCCTCTCCATTATCTGATCTTATGAGTCTTGCTATCCAGTAAAGCAAGTCTTCTCCCTGTTCTTTTTTAGAAGTGACCAGCTATTCTTGGCCCCCTAACTTTTTAAGTTTTCAATTTTAATTCCAGTATAGTTGACATACAGTGTTCTATTAGTTTTGGGTGTGCAATATGATTCAACAATTCTATACATTACTCAGTGCTTATCATGATAAGTATACTCTTTAATCCCCATCACCTATTTCACCCATCCCCCACCCATTTTCCCTCTCCTCTGGTAACCATTAGTTTGTTCTCTATGAGAGTCTGTTTTCTTAGTCGGTCTCTTCTTTTTTTCCTTTGCTCTTTGTATTGTTTCTTAAATACCACAGGAGTGAAATCATATTTGGCTTTCCTCTGACTTATTTCACTTAACATTATACTCTCTAGCTCCATCCATGTTGTCGCAAATGGCAAGATTTCCCTTTTTTTATAGCTGAATAATATTCCAATATATTGTGCATATATACCAATCTTCTTTATCCATTTATCTATCGATAGACACTTGGGCTGCTTCCATAGTTTGGCTAGTGTAAATAATGCTGCAATGAACATAAGGATGCATGTATCCCTTTGAGTTAGTGTATTGTATTTTGGGGGTAAATACTCAGTAGTGCAATTACTGGATCACAGGGTAATTCTATTTATAACTTTTTGAGGAA